TAAACAGGCTAATAATCATAACAAGGCAGTCCTGTTTCAAACCTGGCTTAATACACATTTGTGAATTTCAAGTTTAAACGTCTGAAGCGGCTCTGGCAGCAGAGCAGAAGGATGGGAGAGTGGAAGAAAGAAGAATGAGCTCTGTGGCACATTGCATCATCTGGTACTGAACACTTTCCTCATAATTCGTCTATTTTTCGGGGAGCGGCTCGACATTAAGCATTTTATGCCCAATAGTGCCTTAAATATTCACTTCTTCGACCTCGTTAATGTTTGTTACAAACTACAAACGCCACACGAGTTTGAAGTGCTTGTTATCAAAGATGGCTGGTATAGCAAGTTCGGTTTAGCCGAAACAAAAAGCGATTTAATATTGATCTATTGTAACGATGAGCACTTACGTCAAACATTGATTTCCCCATTTTAAACTGACAATTCATATACACTTTCCTACCGCAGAGATTAGTCATCACTTATTTTTAAAATGACTTTCACCTTTTAGAGACATTATTAACAGTTGGCCCAACAGTGAAGTCAAAAAAATTGCTTTTAATAATTTCCATTTTGCGAACGAACAAATCTTTCTCTCTGTGTGCACAACATCCCTGCACATTAGTTGTAATCATCTTATTAGAACAATGTGTTTGCAAGAGTTTCTTAAATAAATTGTACCGATTGTAAAAATGTTGAAGACGAACAAAATTTTTGAAATATTGCTCCGCCATTAACAAACGGTAAAACTTTCTACTCGAAATTTTCTTTCAAAGTTCAATTCCACAAATCACAGGTTCAAGAATTTTTATGTACTTTTGATCCTGAACCCAAAACGTTTGTAAAAATCAATATAATCTTTAAAGTTCTCTTGTTCAGATACCAGTAACAAAGAGCTTTTCTTTCAGTTTGTCGTGGACACTATATTGCTATAATTTACGGCAGGAAATCGACAAATATCCCTCCTTAACGGTTCCTAGAAGAGCTAAATTCTAAGATCATTACCAGCAGCGCCTTATAGTTTAGGTCTTGACACTGGCAACAGCACCGTCTGTGTACAGAAGGAGTTACGCGAGCTGAGGTAACATATACTTGAAACTGAAGACAGTGGGCGTGAGGTTTGATATGGGTTCTAATTCCCTATCAGCACTTTAGAGTTATACAGAAGTCGAAGCCTACGATTCAAAGTCTTTCTCCAGTTTAGACAAGCCATTGGTGGAAGAGCCATAAACAATCTTCGAAAATCCCAAATTCAAAGAGGTGCCAACTGATCTCATCGAGGCCTAAGAGAAGAGATGAAGAGAGCACGTCATTGCTGTTCAAAGAAAATGTGTCTATTCTATATAGAGCCATCTCAGTTGCGCTGGTAGTCTAGATTAGACACCAGCCTCGTAATCGTTAGGTTGCAGGTTCATAGGTTCGAGGCTCAGATCGGCCGGACGTTGTGTCCTTGGGAAAGGTACTTAAAGCGAACTTTTTCTCTCCCCCCATTAGACAAGGGGTACCCAGCCACAGACAGCGAAAGATAGTGTCACTATTTTAGTGTTTTAGTGCTTGCAAAATGACACTTTCCACAGTGTGCTTCCAGGGAAACCGAGAATGTTTGTGAGTGTTTTAGGGGCCACTGTGGTAACTATAGTTGTAAAACACATAGAGCATGCTGAAGAGCATGGATTTGCCCTATACAAATGCATTTTTTACCGTAAAGAAAGAAAAAGGATATAGACAATAAAGTAGGTACGGAGAAATAGACCCACAGTACACGTTTATCCTGAGGCTGTTCTGGGCACTGAACACCTAACCAAATGACCGATGCTCATAGTGACTGGTAAACCACACGCAGACCAAAACTTGAACGTAAGACTGAAAAGGGCGCTGGATGGGAGTCATCTGGGCGTTTGCCGAGCTTACCTGAGTCGCAGTAATAGATAACATAAAACAGGTCAGATAAGATAAGAATGGTCTCCACCTATACGTTCTCTGACCGACTAGGTCTCCACACAGATAGAATTCCTGTGGCATGATAAATGCATTCACGCACATGCAATCGTCAACTCTCTGTCTCTCTCTCCCTCTCTCTCTCTCTCTCTCTCTCTCTCTCTCTCTCTCTCTCTCTCTCTCTCTTTCTCTTTCTCTCTCTATTCATTCTCTTATTTCGTACTAAAGCAAATATTAAAATTTGTCATAGTCGGTCATGAATTAAAAAAGGTAACCCACCTAAAGATCAATGCCTGGTGATTGTTTGAGAATTAATACTGAATATAATTTCTGCACACTGATCTCACAATCTGTTCGCGCCTTTAATTAGTCGGTATTTACACTCAAGTGAGGTCGTACAGCAAAAAAATGGACTTCCTATTGGCGGGTTCACCCTCATCTGTGAAGAAAATCACAGTACATGTACTCGTACTTATTTTAAAGTATGTCTTTATAAACGTTCCAGACGTATTCCCGAAAAAACACTTTGTGTCAACATCAAAGAGGTATCATAAAAACGATTTGTTCATTTCAAGGGTTCCCTGGACGATTTAACTGTTTAACGATACCGGTAATAATAATGATGATTTTGTGACGCTCGTGTCTATGACCTCTTCGGTATCAAAGATTGCGGAAAACGAGTGTCAATAAATCTCAAATACAGCGCAGCCGTAGCACTGACAACCAGTCGTTCGGTGATTTATCTGCCGTTTGTGCTACACTTGGGATACCTGCGTCATGCAGTCTCCGGCTTAATAAAATGTGCAAACGCCAAACAGGTAAACACGCACTTACTTTCCCTCTCCCTTCCTTACCTCCAGGTCACGTATCATAATGAAATGTAGAGATGTATCGACCAACTGCCTTTAAAATCAATCAAATCCTTTTGAAATCCCTACCTTACCCTCGGGTACGCGAGGCAGAGAGCCGTCGACGACAATCTTAAAACCAGTAGTAACTACAAGTTAAGTCCGTTCCCCACCCAACTGACCAAACTAGTTTTTAAGAACAATAATGAATTTCTTGAGTGTACCAGCTACTATACATTATGTACAGCTCTGCAGATCTATTCCGACACTAAAATCAATTCGCACTTCTTTGTATAGTGACCACAGAATATATTTGTATAAACTTTTTAGCAAACATATGAATATGCATGATTGTGTTAGCCCTGCTGCTAGTGCGCCGTCTCAAATTAATTCTCAGCGTATTGTGTGCAAAGTTGATTCAGATACATAAAAAAGCTTCCTATCATCTGCTCAGATACGCCTTTTTGTGAATACCTCCACTAAAAATTTTCCGTTAATGTTCTAAATGCTCGAAAATTTTTGTGAAGCTGTTTTATTTTATACTGATTTTTTTCATCCGCACGGCTTGTCCGAACGAATCACAATTCAGTTCTGCCAACTTCAGACCATGGAAAATTCCCATTCTTCTTTTTGTCTCAAAATCAGAAATTCATGCTTTATGTGTGTCGAATGGTTAAGTACAAGGATGTACTTAAAATTTAAATTGAAAAGTACCAAAAAAGTCAGCCCAGCATCGAAGAGCTGCTCCCCCCCCCCCCCCCACCCCCACCCCCTCCCACCTGTGACCTGGACGTGATGAGGTGCTCGGCGGGGAGCCCTGCTGCAATTAAAATCCCACTGCTAGTGCGTCGTGTCTGAGATTTTAGAGGTAGAATACAATCTATTACCTCTCAAAACATCACTTATTTTCGTATGTGTCCGTTGTTAGTGCATGACAGCATTGCCTATTTCATTTTGGTTTTGAAGACCGATTTACTGTGCTTTCCTTCTTCCGTCTTTCGATGTTCACCCAGTAAAGCCCCGGCCGTCCACTCACAACCCATTGGCTGGCATTTCGTTAGAGGAGCTAGCCTACCATTCAGGCTAAGAGTTATACAGACAGGCACACGAGTCGCTGACATTATACCACGGATGGAAGAGGTTGGGGGGAGGTCGGGGGGGGGGCAACCTGAATCCAGTTTCCGAGCGCTTTTCTGGAATAATGGCGCACTTTGCGCGTGTGAATGTTATGGAAAGAACACTCTTTTTCAAAGCAACCTATGTGTTGTGCATCCCACGTTCGGAGTCTGAAAGGTTTCTTTTACGTTAGCTGCTTCTGGTCTACAGGGAGGAAGGGGAATACGGAGCATGAGCAATATATTACTTGTATCTCCAATGTAAACACTTGTTTACAGAAGTAGACTCATCTCTGACGCACACATGGTTCCCCAGGTCGAATCAGGCACTGTACATGGTATTTATTCATAATGCAAAGTTGACAGATGGACTCGCCAGGAACACGGGTACAGGTAGCTTTAAGATGTATTTTTATAGGAACCAGGAATCTCTCCGTAATTGTGCAGACACAATGCAATTGTTATTATTTTGCTCTCTTCACACTCTCTGAAAATAACCTCGATGAACTCAACGTTTGATATCTCTTTAGGAAAGGAGAGTCTCGTATTTTTAATATTGGCGCTACGATTAGTATCTCTCGTTTCCCCTCATTGTTGACCCTTTTGGTTCTCTCTTGACAGTTAAATGTAGGTTGAGCTGCGTTCATGATCCTTTTGGCTCAGTACAAATATAAAGAAACTGTTTAGAAATGTAAATAATGTGATCGGTCCTTATTGTTCAAAGTGCTTCTCAAAATGATTTCTGCTTCATTGTATAAAAGGAGATAGAGCGTCTGTGATTTTTCCACATTGACCTATTAAGAACAAGGCCACTCATATGCTACGTTGCCATAACTGAAATAATCAAATTAGGGTTCCCGTTCAGACTTGTTCACGCCTTTCTCTGAAGAGGGGGTGGGTAGTGAATTTGGGTTTAAGGTACCCGTCCTGTGATTCAAAGGTCCCAATTTTGATCCCCAGGAGAATCTTACTGATACACTGTGCTCTACAGTCTGCCCGGGACCAGCTGATTTATGAAATGTTTGAAATTTCGTCCTCAGTGAAAGTCTTCTCTGGCTGTTTGCCATTTACGTAAAGGATCAACAAGGACATCCTAGAGGTGTTAGGAATGCAACAGTTAAGCAAAGTTGCCATGGATCAGTGGAACATCAGTCGGGAGCTGACATCTGTAGACTCAGACCCTGACCCAATCAGCGCCGACGTGAAATATTTGTTTGACGTCATCATTACTTGCGGACTCCACACCAGCTTAGTGGTTTTCGGCTCTGTGACTAACATTCTGAACGTTATTATTTTCTCCCGAATCGGCGTCATGGATAGTATAACCATTTCTTTCGTAGCATTGTCTTTCACAGATTTTGGGGTTGAATTCATGAATACAGCCGAACGTGTCTGTATGATTTTCTCGCTTGTTCTAGCTGCAGATGAGAGAGAGATCAACGTTGACCTCGATGCTCTCGCGTACACTCTGACGTGGTACGCAAAGATCTCTTACGACATGTCTGTGTTCATTACAGTGTTCATCGCCGTGCAGAAGTGCTGCTGCGTAGCTTTACCTTTCCACTTCAGCGACGTGTTCACGCCAATCAAAAGCATCGTCATCAATGTGACAATCGTGTGCGGCTTTCTCGTGTATCATCTACCTGTAATGGCGAACCAAGATTTGAGATGGCGATTTGACCCTCGAACCAACTCTTCGAGACTCGTTATGTGGGTTACGAAAGAACGATCTATTCTTCTCAGCATCAACGATTTCGGCAGGAACATTTACATTACCGCCTCTCAAGTCATCGTCATTATCTGCCTTCTCATCCTTGTCATTAAACTTAGAAAATCGTCTGCCTTCCGACGCACGGTGGCGTCAGGCGACGAATCAACATCGAAGGAGGAGAGTTCAAAAGTCAAGTTTTCTACCCGAGACTTGAACGTGATCAAATCTGTGACATACGTGGCAGCTCTTTTCGTGGCGTGCACGATTCCGTCTGTAGCTCTGGCTTACTGCAGACAGTTCATCCCAAAGTTTGATTTTACAGGTCATGCCAATTTGTTCCTTGTCGTATTTCGCGTTCGCAACACTTTCATCTACCTTTGCTGCGCCGTCAACATCTTCATTTACTATCGCTTCAATACTAAGTTCAGGGAAGAAACAAAGATCCTTTTTCGGCCGTTTCTTCTGCGCGTGCGTCTAAGAAGAGATCAAAAGGAAGCTGCCAAGGGTGACGAAGGAGAGTAATCCTTTATTAGTGTTAGAAAGGACGAAAAGTGAATAATCATTCATCTCCACCAAAGGAAGACACAAGATTTTAAAATAAATTAAGTCTACTGGCTGGTCAGTTGATTCCACCTAGCCATCGCAGTCCGTCTGGAGACAAACAATCTTGTAGCGTATCATGTGTCGTCAAAAAGCCCGAGTTTTGACTCTTAGACTTAACACGAATAAATACATGACCTCTTTTGTATTTTGTAAGCTTAAACACAACTAAAACAGAACGACGTCAATGTTTCTTTAAACATGTATCATTAGCTAAATATACTGAACGCCATTAAAAACGCAACGGTTTCAAAAAGTTATTAAAAAGCCAAAAAAAGCTCTGATCGTCACGATTTTTGTTAGATTGGCCTTGACCATCAATAAGGTGCCTCTACAAAAACATTATTGATGGTCAAGGCCAACAACGCACATTAGGGATGAACTGAACCGCAGGGTGTGTGGCATTTTGCGAACCTGCAGCTATTGGGAGATCGCGCTGTCGCGAAAGTGGGACAGAATGTTTTAAAAAAACATTGAAAATGTTATAAAATCCATGTGAAGAAGTGTTTTGGTCTGTATAAATGTATAAATGTTAATGACGGCCTTACAGTTTACTAAGGGTGAGAGATCTTTATGGAGCTTCGATTTGCGTTTATCTGCAAATTTGTCTTTAGGGGTTACTCGGAGAGAAGAGGGACAATATATCGAAATCAGTTTAAGTGTGAGGTCAAAATGATTCCTATTTTCTGGAAATGGAATAAACTTCCAAATACACTTCTTTTAGTATAATATATTCATTTGATAGAAACGTGTTCAGACTCTACGAACAAAGTGTTGCGTTTTTAATGACATTCAGTATATTATATAATAATATGCCCGTGTGAATCATTGTGTCCGGGTCTGTTCAAACTGATACCTATAATTATATATGTTCCTTACAGTAGAAGATGGTGTAAATGGATATTTGAATATAACATCACTTAAACTGGAAAAAATGGCGTTCTCAGTTTCCCTTTGACTGCCAGACATGTTCAGGGCGTTGATATAATGGTAGCTATATCTTTGAAAATAAATATATCATATATCAGAGTTTTCTTTTCAAGCAGAGTGCACAGACACTCGGCAGTAGAACTTGGAGCCTGGAGTACAACTAATTAATTTGTACTTTACGCTCAAGAAAAATTACCTTAGCAAAGTGAAAAGTCTCTCTCTCTCTCTCTCTCTCTCTCTCTCTCTCTCTCTCTCTCTCTCTCTGTCTCTCTCTCTCTCTCTCTCTCTCTCTCTCTCTCTCTCTCTGTGTCTCTCTCTCTCTCTCTCTCTCTCTCTCTCTCTCTCTCTCTCCTGGTTTTTTGCCAAACTGTAACTGATTCCCCAGCCTTTTCAGTGTTAGGAAACGAATGTTTAAATTCGTGAAGTTTTGCTTAGACTATTTTTAGGGGGGCAAGGGAGTGCATATTGAAGCAGCTGAATAATAATTCTTGACCGTAGTGCTTTTAACGTGCACAAGTTTGTATGGGTCATGCGAGTTTCTTGTCCCGGTCCCAGGATATTAATGTGGATGCTGAAATCTATCTATCTGTCCTAGGATATGGGACCCAGAGAGATAAAACCTTGAAAGCTATCCTTGAAAGATGCCTGCACCCACCCCTTTGATCCACCCACCCCTTTTTCCCAGTATCGATTACATTATTTTAGCATAAGACTCATTACCTTTTCAGCACAACACACCATTCCCCACCCCTTCATATACTGCACCAATTCTAGATACACTTGTGTTGTAAAAACCTGCTTGTTTTCTTTTAAGAGCAAATATATGTGACTGTTTTTACATGTAAATGTTTTGTATTTTGTGAACAGAACTTTATTCATAAAATCTGAACATTGCAACAAAAAAAAGAGTGTTGACAAAAATAAACAATAGCGAACTCAAAAACATGCAGGATTCATGCACTTTTTTACTTTCCCGGATAAAAAATTCTGCGGCACTTATTGCCTCAAGTCAGCATCTGACCTTGGGAAGTTGATGTTTGCAACAAAGACAGTTTTCATGAGAAAACATAATAAAGGATAACCATCATCAAGTGTCAGATCTGCGACAGACATCGGCCATCATGGTTCTCCGTTCATTCGATTGCTTGAGTGCTCTCAAATAAGTAACATTATCCCTCTGTTTATACGGGGTGCCCACTACGGCTGGATTGGCCGATCCCAGCCGTGAGTTTCTCTGTGTCTAACCCCGCTGCGTTTGCGCTCGGTTTTGGAAGTGAGAGCTGGATGTTCAAGGTTTGTTTTTTTGTCTCTGGTGTAAAAAGTACCCAAACAGACAGTGGATTGCTTGTGACACCAACGATATTAAGCTCGTTCTTGTGAGTAGACAGAGTGCGGAGAATAGAAAAAGAGAAATAGACCTTGACTTGCAACTTGTAACCATTTCCAAACACGAGAAAATAGCGGCTTAATTTGCTTGGAATTGAGAAGTAGGTCTACCTCACAGCAAACCTTATAGATCTTATACATTTTCTTTTACAACTATGAATATTCGATAGCAATCAAATGACGAAATACATGAGACAATTTAGCCAACTCAAACTGTTTATTTAGGTGTACACTAAAACACAGAACTAGATTTTATTGAAAACTAATGCACATGAACACACGAACAGAAGCATGAACAAATTGTGGGCCATCACTTCAGATATACTAAGCTCAAAATTTCTAGCTTTTTAAAATATATTTATTATATTTTCTTAAATATGTGGGGTCGGTTGCATAATTTGATCAATAGGCATTTTGTCGAAATTCAAATTTTAAATTTCGAACAAAGCGATAAAGCTACATAATGTAGGTAGGCTACAGTTGGTAAAAGAATGAAAGAAGGTTGCTGTTTTGTTTTGTTCCGGTTTTTTTGCCTCTCCCTTAAGAAAATCTTTGCTATCTGGGTTTTTAATACATTTGAACAGATTGCCGACGAAATGTGCTATCATATCATTATGTGTTTCCTTCAGTTTAGGCAGAAAGACAGCAAGAAAATCATAAAACATCAACACTCATCGCAGGTCACACAACTCTCCTCCGTGGCCCATGCTCAACTGCCATTACAAATAGCTCGTCAAGGCCAAAAACTACAACTGCTCTTTAAGAAAATTAGACGATGTTCGTTTTAAGAAGGGACATATATCTCATAATACAAAGCCATAACATCAAAATTAGAACATAGTCATTTAACTGTTTAAAAAATAATAAATTCGTCCCTCTTTAAAAATGACGTGTGGAACAAAGTGTTCAAGTCAAACAAATCAGATAGTACATTCTACTACAGACAGGGAATAAGAATAAACGCGTACGTTCCAAAACACCATCTGGACGCCTCAATGGAGCGATGTTAAGCATTGGTTAAACTATCTTCTGATGGACTCACCCTAATGGCTATTCGTTGGTTAGCCATCGCCCATTAACGAACGAGTAATCTGAAATGATTAATATGTCGAGGGACTACTTGAACGCACAACGCTGTAACACAGATCATTACATGGTATTTTTACACAATATGCAATCGCCATATGTTACTTAAAAAATTAATGTTAGCCTGTTCCTGTTCGTACATACACGGTACCGTTTTCGAATTTGACTTTCCCATTCATTCGTTCTTCTCCATGAAATCCCTTGGGCAATTTTGAACAGGTAATGAAACTCCTTTCCCAATTCCCCACACTTAGTAAAATCTCTTCCTTTCCCCTACCGTCTTCTTTCAAATCAAAGTATTCATGAAC